GCTTAATTAATGAGCTAGAAGTCGATTTTGAATCAAAAAAAATGGGGTGGGGCTAAAGTTTTGCAAAGCAGTGTATTTAGCTTGTCTTCTTTGCTAGTAAAATAGAATCAAAATAACAATCATCGATATAGATTTGAGAGTTGCAAATCGGATGATTCGATCAAATATTCAGGGAAACTCTCCCGAAAATCCCTTTTCCAGGTGCACAACAAGTGTTTCTTCAACCAAGAATCCGGAAAAGAAAACTGACATGCATGTGGTAAAAGAGAGAAATAGCGATAAAAAGATATCCGATTACATTTGGACTTGAAGAAACTTGTGAAGGAAAGAGAGAGACGGGAAATTTGTGTGCAAATCAAAAAAAGTGATCGTTTTAAGTGACGAAAACATGACAGGACACATTGGGGGAAACAGGTACACTACTGGACAATGAAATATCATATTTGAAGAAAAGAGATCATCACTTTCGCGCGTCTGTAACTCCCTGTCTTTACCGTATTTCTAAATATCAATATTACCATTGTGTAGCCCTTGAAAAGAGCTTTCAGAAAATGTCAAACAATAATAGTTTTTAATCTCAAAGACAAGGGAGTTACAGACGCGCGAAAGTGACGATCGTTTTTTCAAATATGATATTTCATTGTCCAGTACTGTAGCTTAAAGACAATGATCACATTTGAGAATTCGTCTGTCTGCTCATATTTATAAGGTAATAATAATCCGTGGAAAATTATTAGAATATCCAGAAAAGCTTTCCCTTTCTTTTCGTAATTCCCCGTTGAAAAATAATAAATACACCACGTCACCTACCGTAAATACTGTAATAGTACCCCCCCCTCGTACAGTCGCGTAGTCGCAAAAGTTTTTTAGTATTTCATTTTTTTCAAAGCGCCCGTACTTTCAAAAAATGAGTCTTTGGTACCAAAAAAATCGCTGAAATTCAGGGCTATTTTTTGATACCTAAGCGCGCATTGTAGCATAAACAAGTGTCGAGAAAAACTCGTTCAAAGCTAGACTACGCAACACTCCGCACCGTCATTATGGGGGTGCGGTACTATTACAGTATTTACGGTAACTAAAAAAAATGTAGAAATCTTAGTTTGTTTCGTTTTTTCGATTGATAATACTGATACTTTACGTATTAAAATTCAAAAAGAAGTTTGAATGATCAAAATGAATGCATAATGACAGAAAAAGTGTCCTTTTATACGTTCATTGCTACAGACTGAATACAGCTACGCTTTAGCGCGCATTTTAGAATTCAGCTACTTAGTGGAAAGCCGTAATGTTTGTGATCGAGGCTAGAATTGTACTAATTTTACTCGTCGCGATACGGAAATGTCTGTTTGTTGACGAGGTTTTTGCTAAGGTATTTTCTGAAGTTTTTTTCAAGTGACCTCAAAATTTGATTGATAATACTGATACTTTACGTATTGAAATTCAAAAAAAAGTTCGAATGATCAAAATGAGTGAATAATGACAGAAAACGAGTCCTTTTATACGTTCATTGCTACAGACTGAATCGAATCGATAAATCGATAAAAAAAAAACTCTACGAAGAAATTGGCTAAATGAATTTCTTTCTTTGAAAATTTCTCAATATATCTAACTTTTTATTGACACAAAGAAAGATTTGATTTTCTTAGCGAAAGTGTCTAAAATGAATCATCGAGCCACATTTTTGACTACCCGTTCCAAAAAAAATCCAAACATAAGACATTTTAAACCTGTTTTAATGCAGAAAAATAAATAGCTTTTCGAATGAAACAAACCGTAGTTCAATTTGTGTATTTGTTGATTTTAAACGGTAGACGAAAAGAAACGAAAAAACTTTCTGTAACCTAATAACCTTTAGTTCATTGATCAACCAATAATCAGAGAAAAAAATAATTGAAATCCCCTTTTTCTATTTGACTAAATACGTCCATTTCAGCTTACAGATGAGTTTTTGAAAGGTTTTTTTTTGCAGTAAACCCAAAGAAACAAATATTACCAAAGAAATGTTATTTATAGAGAAAATGCTCTAGTCACGGTAAGTTATCGACACTTCAAACAAGTTCTGTCAAACAAAAATTGTCAAAAAAACTCTAGAGAATTATATAAAAATATTTCAATTGAGTAGAGCTAGCTGGAGCGAGAGAATGAGCAAAGTAGAGGAGGTCGAGGAATGATCTCTCTCATCTCTCTCACCAAGGCTTTCCCGCCGAGTCTGCGAGTCCCCTGTGGACAGTTGTGCCGTTCAAATCCTTTTCTTTTTCATCTCACTTTCAAGACAAAACACAGATTCATTACGGGCGAAAAGACACCTCTTTCCGTTTTCTCTAAAAATGTTACTTTTTCGCTGAGACTTCGAGAAATCAGAGTCTAGTCATAAAGCTTAGAGAATTGTTGTTGAATTGAATTGTTGAATTGAATTGTTGAATTGAGTTGAATTGAGTTGAATTGAGTTGTTGATTGAATGTTGTCAATAAAGCTAGTCATGTTAGAGATTGAATTTTTGAGTAAACCTCGTAATTTTGAATCTGTAACAGTCTTTGTCTTAGACATTCAAGTAGACTGTTTGATAGACATTAGAAATTAGAGTAAATGTTTAATCAGAAAAGCACAATCTACAGATTTCACTCACGTCATCACTCTTTAAACTCTCCCAGGCCAAAAAAAAAATTCAACTGATCAACGCACTCCCAAGGGAGCATCAACACCTATACTTTTCCAAGACCATGTCCCAAGATGGCTGAAATTGAATCGTTAGTTGGGGCGGAAACTCTAGAAAAAGTGGGAATAGACCGCGAGTCGATCTGAAGAGATGCGGGGGAAAAGAACGATAATGGAGTCCCTCTTCCAATTCATCCTAAAGCTTTTATCGAGCTTTTCTCTCTCTTTTTCTCTCTCTTTTTTTCTCCATTCAGTTCCCCTTTCCTAACCTAATCTAAACAGTCTTGTTTGGGCTTTAAAAAAAAAGAATCTCCATTACTTTTATCCGTTTGGGGATCTCGGAGCAAATTTACCTACATGGATCCAAAATTGGATCCGAATTTGATAAGCGCTTTCGGGAGATTGGATTTTTTGGGGGAAAAAAAAGAGGGAACGGGTGTTCAACCGGTTCTGTTTTTTTTTTCTTTTTTGAGGGAAATAAAGAAAACATGTGAGTTTTCTATGAATAGCATTGAAAAATCACTAATCATAAGCTCAAAAAACAAAGTTATAAACTATAAAAGCATAGTGATAAGTAGGGTTTCCGGGAGTGGGACAAATGCGACCCTTTTTTTGCGCACCCGGACATTTGCACACCTTTTTTTCCGCACTTAGCCCATTAGCGCACCTTTTTTCGCGTTTCAAAAAAGCTCTAAAAGCTAATATTAACCAATTTCTATTCCAAATGTTGTTTTTCTAGGTAATTTTAGGGCGTAGAATCGAAATTTTGGCATATCAGAGCTTGTGGAAGCGAACGGACGCAGTTATACAAAGAGAAAAATCAACAATTTTCTGTAATTTGATCTAGCCGTTTTGTCTTTCAAATTGGTTCCTCTGTTATGTCAAAATTTGAATTCGACACCCTCAAATTACCTAGAAAAAAAACATTTGGAATAGAAATTGGTTAATATTAGCTTTTAGAGCTTTTTTAAAACGCGAAAAAAGGTGCGCTAATGGGCAAGGTGCGGAAAAAAAGGTGCGCAAATGTCCGGGTGCGCAAAAAAAGGTCGCATTTGTCCCATTCCCGGATTTCCTAATAGGTAGGCAATTTGGAAAGCTTCTTTATGTTTACTAGTTCAAATTTTTCTTTTTGTGAATCCTCAATTCACACTTTTTTTTTATTGAATAAGAGCAAATTAAGGAAATATTATGATAGTTTCTTCCAAATTATCCATCCAACTTCACTAAAGAACGCGATAATGAGACAATAATGAGATAATGAGATAATGAGACCTTTCTGCAATTCTAGAATTGTAATAATTCACTTAAGAGTATAAAACTAAGCTTAAAGCATAAGTTCATAGGGTTCAATGAACTTAAAAGTATCATAAATCATGTAAAAAGCAAAAACAATGTATTGTTGTTTATTGAGGGAATGAGGTGAGAGAATTGAGGGAAAGAAAAAGCAATTGGATGTGATCGATCAGATTCTTCAGTATCCCAAAGACAAAGACCACCACTGATCCCCCTCTTTAGCACTTCAAAAAGCAAAAGAGAGACGAAAACCAGAGCAATAACTTTAAACTGTGGATAAAAGATTTAGGGGATCTCGATCTCTATCCGCTTGTTCGCACCTAGCCTCTCACCACCGTCTCAGCATCGCGCCAACCTCATCCATCATTCCTAGACTATCGGCGGCGATTTGAAGCTATTTTTGATGTGTTTTAGTCTTGAAATTTGTTAGGGATGAGAAAACGGTGCTCTAACTGTCACTCTTTCATTGAATTTCTAGCAAAATACACATGAATTTAAGGTAGATCCCAAAGAAATTGGGCATAGTAATTGATCGATTGGCGCTATTCATTTCTACATCAACTTCATCACCGATAATTTGATTTTAGAGATTTTCAATCCTAATTCAAGCCACTTCTTTAAAGACATACAGAACTTTGTTGATCCTTGGTTTAAGAGTTGTGAGTCTTTTTGATTCCAATGAAGGAATACAGACCGTTACAAGTAGGGGGAAAAGTAAAGCTATTGCTCAACCGCTTATGACGCTTTTTTTTGGTCAATCTTTCCCCCTTTTAGTTTCTTTTTTGTATTGTTCACACTCATGAGTTTCCCTCATTTGATCCTCATCGATCATCCTTTTCTCTTCCAGACCCAAAACTCTTTTTTTGTGAATCTCCCTTTGTGATTGATCGACCGGAAAGGACCAGTGTATTGAGACGTGACTTTATATATTATATTATAGTTTATTATAGTTTATTATAGTTTATTATAAAGAAGAATTTCTTATAATTGTTGATATGGATTGTTTGAGATCAAAACTGAGGATCTGTAGATCTGAGGAGTTTGTGTAATCAAGCGGCTAAATAGGGAGCCTTGAGACCAATCCAGAAAATCGTTCCCATCAGCATCGCCGTGAAAGTCAAAAGGCCTAAACGGTCGACGACGAGAGCGGCGAATCTGAAAAGGGTATTGATTAAGATTAGGCTATTGATCAAGCTACTGTATTGGTGATCTTGTGCTCTCTTGACCCAAACTTCTAACTCTAAAGTCTATAAGCCAGACTAGACCTGGCCTAGAGCCAGGTAGCCAGGTATGAAACCAACTAAGCATGGCTTGTGCTCTCTTGACCCAAACTTTTAACTATAAAGTCTATAAGCTAGACTAGACAAGCCTACCAGGTAGCCAGGTATGAAACCAACCAAGCCTGGCTGTTGACGAGTACATGGGCTTTACACCAAGAGCAGAAGTCAGAGAAGAGCTTGGTAAATATTTTGCTCACTCACCTCCACTCGCTTTCCACCAATTTTTCCTCATTCGTGTCATCATCATGTTCACGAATCATCTAAACCCGTTTGATTTGGCAAATCGCCTTACCCTACCTTGACATGATTATAGATTTTCTCTAAAACATTCAGCCGCCTTGCTAGTACACTGTCCTTATGTCGATCCGCTTTTTGAACCTGAAAAACAAAGAGTGTATACTTTGAAGCAAATACCTGAAAGACAAGGTTATCGAAATTATCCTTCATCGTATTACTCATTGCAGCCATCAGTTTGAGTGGACCCTCGTTCTAAAATATTTTCTGAACCTTTATCTGATTTGATTTTTGATTTTCGAAACTTTTATCTGATTTAAACATAAACTAAACATAAACTAAACTTACATATGTGAACGCGGTTTTGTTGTCCTCTTCCTTTTCAGCTTTGCGCTGTTGCCAGCTGGATCTGAAAAAGAATTTGAAGAAGTTTAAGAAGTATTCTCAAGGTTTTAGACTCAAGAACTCAAGCATTCTTAAGGTGCTGTACTGTAGTTGTAAAGTGAAAGTTTGTATGGTACAGTACGATGACAATATCACAATGATTTGCCTACTTTAGTGAAGTGAGATCATTTCTCCGTCTCGGCACTTTCATCCTCATCAACCACGGCGCCCACTCGAGCAACAACCAGCGCATCTAGAAATTGGCTTTCACTTACGTTACTTTACTTTAATTGTTTATTTCATTGACTCTCACTCACCCAAAATGACATCCGATGCGAGTTCTGGTGGATTTTAAAGTGATAACATTGTACATAGACTGTGAAGAAAGTCGCAAACACCGAGAGAACCATACAGGATTGGAAGAAAATACCTAAAAAGAGTTCACACCTCATAGTTAGCTTTCGAAAGTTTACCCAGCAATGGCACAGCTTCCGATGTCTGTGGGATCATCGCGTTCATCATCTCGGAGAAGATGCAAATCGCGAGCGAAACCGAGATTTGAAGGCCGACTTTCTCGCCGGACTCTGGCCTGAAAAAAGTTGTAAAATTTGATAGAATATTTAGCGAAGAAATGAATCTTTACCATAAAATGACTCTAGCTTTAAGCCTTTAGGAGTTCCGCCAGCCAAAGTTCGCCGCATCTTTTCACTCACCTTAGCGTAAATCCCAAAACGTTCAAGACCATCGTGATCAGACATGGCATAATCAAATTGAAGAAATAGTACCTTAAAAAAGACATTCTAAAATCTTTCCCTTTCCCTTACAAAGTTCTCCTCTTTAGTTTGATGTAAAAGTAGACCGCCTGATAGACGGCATTGTTGTACTCGCTTGCGGTGATGTTTGCCCAGAATTCTGAAAAGAAATTGATACAGGCAAACCTCGATAACAAAAAGATTTTGAGGTTACATGAAGAAATTCTTCACAAAATATTGGGTTGGTCCATAAGTTCTGTGTCCTACTAAAAAGAGTGTTTTGGGAGCGTTTTGGAAAAGTGTTTTGGTAAGCGCAAAAAAATAACTTTTTGCACGGATTTCAATTTGATTTTGATTCCATTGAAAAGAGGACAAAAATGGCATAAAAAAAGTTTGGTTCAAGAAATTTGACGTTTTGGACTCAACGAGCGTAGGGTAGGCTAATTTCCGCAATTTTTTTTTGCGCAACTGGGTCTTTGGCGTAACTCGCCATAACTTTCCTCTAAGTAGGTCAATCTTTATGATTTTGATGTCATTTTGTTGCACTTATTGAGATCTACAAAATGAAACCAAAATCATAAGATTGGCCCACTCAGAAAAAGTTATGGCGAGTTGCGCAAACAAAATGACGGCAATTAGCCTACCTGATGTTGTCAACTCAAGCCCTACAAAAGCAAAACACTAAATTAGGGTTAAAAATACCTTTTCGAGGCAACAAAACGGGGGGTAGGCTAATTGCCGCCATTTTATTTGCGCGACTCGCCATAACTTTTTCTATGTGGACCAATCTTTATGATTTTGGTTTCATTTTGTAGATCTCAATAAGTGCAACAAAATGACATCAAAATCATAAAGATTGGTCCACTTAGAAGAAAGTTATGGCGAATTGTGCAAAAGACCCAGTTGCGCAAAAAGAATTGCGGAAATTAGCCTACCCCTCATTTTGATCATTTGAATTTCTTTGTGAATTTTAATACGTAAAGTATCAGTATTATCAATCAAAAAAGCGAAACAATCTAAGATTTCTCAATTTTTTTTAAGTTAGCTAGTTGATAATGACATTGCTTTACATGTTTTTTTTAAAATAAAAATTCATCTTATTTATGTAAATGAAAACATTGGTCGTACCAAAGAGCCCATTTTTCTATATTTTTTTACGGTTTTTAGAGCATTTCTTAGTATTATGCGGCAAAAACCTCGATAATTAAAAAGGTTTTTGCGAAATCCTTTGAGTTTTTTTGTTTGTTTTAGAGGTTTTACTGTTAAAATTTGAAGAAAATATCAAAATTTCAAAATTTCAAAACGCCTCTCACTTTCCACAATCCATTCCCCATTTTCCATGAAATCAGAAAAGTCGAATTTCCCTTCTTGTAAATTGACTTGTTGAGCCGTGTGAGTCCATGAACCAAACTAAAAAAAATCTGCTTTGATTTCAACGGGAGTGGGACAAATGCGACCTTTTTTGCGCACCCGGACATTTGCGCACCTTTTTTTCCGCACCTTGCCCATTAGCGCACCTTTTTTCGCGTTTTAAAAAAGCTCTAAAAAGCTAATATTAACCAATTTCTATTCCAAAAGTTGTTTTTCTAGGTAATTTCAGGGTGTCGAATTCAAATTTTGACATATCAGAGCTTGTGGAAACAAACGGACGGAGTTATACAAAGAGAAAAATCATCAATCAAAATTTTCTGTAATTTGACCTAGCCGTTTTGTCTTTCAAATTGGTTCCACACGCTCTGTTATGTCAAAATTTGAATTCGACACCCTGAAATTACCTAGAAAAACAACTTTTGGAATAGAAATTGGTTAATATTAGCTTTTTAGAGCTTTTTTAAAACGCGAAAAAAAGTGCGCTAATGGGCAAGGTGCGGAAAAAAAGGTGCGCAAATGTCCGGGTGCCCAAAAAAAGGTCGCATTTGTCCCACTCCCGATTTCAACAGTTTTTTTTTTTAAAGTTGAAAATAAACGTTGAAAAAGACTTACTTTAAACCAGCATAATTGCGTGTCGAAGGGAAAATAGGTGACGTCGAGTTTACATGAGATTTTAAAAATACCTAAAATAATATTTTCGACTTTGGTAGAGTAATTGACTATTACTATTAGAATCAAGTTTTGTAAAGAAAAACGAAGTTTTAAAGTAAAGTTTTAAAGTGTAATGAAATGAAGCCTAAAAGCGTAAGGCTTTGAGTTTGTTTACCTGGCGGAAGCCACTCCATTCGCCCATCCGCATAGCCGACAATGTTCGCTTTGTAAGTAGAGTCAAAAGTCGAATCAACACTAGAAAACGATGGACTTTTTGTACTTTTTAAGAGCTTTTCTTTTAGATTAGATCTTGCTTATTGAATTATCTGGAAATCTTCTTTTTCTTACTGATTCCTTCACTTCTTTATTACTTTCTTCTTTACTCGTGGTTCTGATTTCCAAGTACGACGGGAGCCCACGGTTCCAAAGACCCAGGTATTTCCTTCTCTTTCCTTCTTTCTTCTTTCTCTTGGCATTAAACTTGGATAGCTCAGTAGTTAGAGCAATTGATTGCCCGGAAAACAAAAGGTCGAAGGTTCAATCCCCTCTCCGGAAATCTGCTTTTTCTTACCAATTCCTTAACTTCTTTTTACCTATTGTAAAGCAAAATATCCGGTTGCCAAACAGTGCCAGCGGGAAAACGAAGATCGGAAACATTCTCGTAATGCTCGGGTTCCCATCTTAGATTCTCGTCCAACCACTGATATTTCAGCCAAGCATTCACCTCGAATAATTCCTCTTTTTCGTTCTGAAACTATCCTTTGTAAACAATTTTGTGAAAATAAACCAATCCGTTAATAACTTTTCCCCCGGGGAAAAACTGGTTATGAGACTACAAATCACGCAAATGAATTAGCGGAGAAATCTTTGCTTTTCGGTTTCATAAAAAACAATATTTCAGTATAAATATTCAATTGACAAATGATCTACAATCTACAAATTGATTTAAATTTAGCTTTAGAATAAATTCTAGCTATTATTCCCCTCATAATCCTTGTCCATTATCGCTATTCCATTCCCAAAATGTCATTTGATAGAAAGATCTCCATGGTGACCTCTCAAACCAATCATTTTATAACCTTATTTTGCTTTTTTTTCTAAATAATCATACTTATTTTTATTCTTTTTACATTACCAGATTGATAATGTTTTGCATAATCACTCCTAGCACCACATCCACTGGCTTGCCACTGTCCAAAACGGGACGCTCTTCTAGAAAAAGTTGAATAAGATTTTTAAGCTTTCAAATCTTTCAAATCTTTTCAACTTACTAATTATAAGGATAAATTTAGCATTTAATGAAATAACTATTAGTATCAAGCATTCTTATTCACTTCTATTTTACCTGTCACATAACCCGCCAACAAATCATTGATGAGACGAGCCTCGGGTGGAGATGACCCAATAGGAATACATAATGAAAACAGAATAAGTGGGAGAAACATTTTCAAGAACATTTTCAAGAAAATTTTTCACGAAAATTAATTTTGAGTAGAATCATGTCTAAATTGTTTATTTCATTTTAAATTCAATATTACAAGATGAAAAAAAAGCCAAAAATCCTTTTTGCTTATCAAAGAAAGAAAAAGTTTCTATGGTGTCACTAGTCGATTTGATCAACACAAGCCAAAGAAAAACATTTGCCGTTTTTCAAAGCTTTTCCCTTTCCTTTTTTTTTTCTATCTCAGATCGGAAAGCCATTAGCGGGCCGGGCACCTGTTAAATTGGAAAATCGAATCCATATGGAACGGGGAAAGAAAAGGAATAGGGGACCTTGAGAATATAGTTATTTTTGGTGATGAACTTTACGAAAAGTTTCCTTGATTGAAGTTGAAAAGTTGAATTCCTTGATTTTAGAAAATTTAGATCTAAATCTACAGAGCTAGATCTAAAATCGGAACAATGAAATAAGAACACTCTCGAAACATTTATACAGATCAAATTTGGTGTGTTAGATTGCATTCACTGAAAACAAAGAGCGATAATATATTAAGAAGAAATATCGATAACTCCAAAAGGAGAAGAATATTGGTTTTTACTTGAAAGAAAGAGAAAGAAATGCTTCTCTTTTAAGCATCACCCACTGAGCCCCTTTCTCCTTCAGAACTTTTCGATGGGGATAAGACTAAAGCTCTCCCTTCGTCTCCCTTTTTCCTCAACAATTCCCCAATTCCCAATTGAACCTCACCAACCAAAGCCGATCCATTAGACGACAATGGGGAAACAATCAAATTGTGGATTTCGATTAGTTTCTGGTGGAGAATGATTTAAGTTAGAGATAAATAGCTGTACTTGCTTGTTGCTTAAGCAGTTGAGGGTTAAAGTGTACTTTTAAAAACTCACTTTTAAAAATCTCCTTTTAAGCTGATTCAGTGAGTGTTTGTGAAGGAAATATGCCATAAATGTTTGGATTTTTAAAACCTTATATTAACAAACTTGTACATTGAGGAATACAAAGTTACATACAAAGAGATAAATTATTTTTAGTTTTCACCAAAAAAAAGTGATTTTTTTTTGTCAAAACTAGCAATGATTTATCTCTTTTCTTTTTAAATATCAATTTCTTTTCCAAAGAATGAAACAATTTCTCATCACAAAGTCGTCAAAAAGGTTTAGTTTGTTCATCTGCGCCTCGCATTCGCACATTAAAGAGAATCAAATCGAAAATTAGCTTTACCATATATTCAAAAACGCTTTCTAGTCTAAACTTAAATGGCTTAGGATATTTTGTACAAGTTCTGCTCTAGCTGGCTTTCATATCATAGTTGCCTTTGTGCTCGGTGTTTGCTTTTGTGCGGAAATATCGATTAAACGCAAAAATAGCAAATACACATAGATTTCGAACTATTTTAACTAAATAAAATCTATCTAAAATCTTTTTTCCATTCAATGCCTTTAGTCGCGATGAAGCGCGAAATTCGGCAAGCTTTCTTCATCTTTTGCACGGTGATCACCCTTTTGACAATCTATTATTATTGGATGGGAGGAGCGATTAATGTTGAGGAAATTAAACGAGAAACACGTGTAAATGCACAAGAATTTCACGATTTTCATGCTGATCGATATCCGGAATGGACATTGGAAACGATGGACTCGAATGGTAAGCTTTTTGAGTCCGTTTCCCGTGGCAATCTACGTATTTTGCTTGTTTCTTAATCGGGTTTGTTTGTAAAACGTTGACTTTCCTTTCATTCAACTCGAAATCAAATTTGCTATCGAATAAAGCAAATTCAACGCTTTTCAAATAAACCCGGCCAAGGAACGAGCAAAATTCGTAGATTGCCACGGGAAACGGCTTGAAAAAGAAGCGGAGTTAACTTATCGTATTTTCCCTAATAGTAGTGCACCCTAAGCCAAACCTAAATTGCTCGAAATCTCGAAAAGCGTTTATCAGAACCTATTGATGTGGGATCGGAAAATGTAGCTGACGATCAGATCTTGTGGGGGATTTGAGTGTTGAGCTTCTGGGAAAACTTGGAAACTGTAAAATAGTGATCAACCCGGCTCACCGGGAAATATTAGGGAAATAGATCAGTCTGATCTACTAGCCTAACCTGGAATAATATACCGTATTTTCTCTAATAGTAGTGTACCCAAAGCTTCCCCTAAATTACTCGAAATCTCGAAAAGCGTTTATCAGAACCTATTGATGTGGGATCGGAAAATGTAGCTGACGATGAGATCTTGTGGGGAATTGGAGTGCTGAGCTTCTATGAAAACTTGGAAACCGTAAAATAGTCATCAACTCGGCTCGGCGCAGTGCAGTATTATTAGGGAAAATACGGTGGCTGGCGGCCCGCAGTCTCGACTCTGGGATGACCTAGCCTGATTTACAGCTCCTAGAAACATCTCTATCCAAATTCAAATCTTATGTTTCCTAATTTCTAGAAAACGTTGCAATCGCCTTGGTTTACATTGTAAAAGATCGGAAAAATGAGGCTGACTATCGAATAGCGATCAATTCAGCGAGATGTTATGCTGAAGTAAGCGAAGAATTTTAAGCAAAAGTCAAGAGTTAAAAAAGAAATCTTGCAAAGCAAATGCTGAACTGACTACAAGAGCAACATTTTGTTATGAATTAGAGTCCCTAGATAAAATCAGATTCCCGCAATTTTCAGGTCCACCAATATGGCTTTATTTATGTCGACTACAGCGCCAATAAAACCCTCCAAGAGCTCTGCCCGCAAAGCGATGTGAGTTTTTTTATGTGTTTAAAAAGTTATACGACTATAAATATTAAAAAGAAAAGAGAATAAAACCAATAGATTCTTTAGTTTTTCTTTACGAGACATTGTTTGATGAACGAAGTCCTCCAAACAGCTCCATACGAATTTTTCGTCTTTTTGGATGCTGATATTGGGGTAATCAATCCAAGGAGAAGGTAAGAATTCCTTGAAATTCAAGTATTATATATTATATTTTTTGATATCTCTATTAGAAAGAATAGAAAATTACAGAGTCCAAGATTTTCTCCCAGCGGAAAGTTCGGTGAATGTGATGTTTTACAATCGCTTCTACAATGACGAGATCATGGCCGGATCGTACATTGTGAGGTGGATTTTTATAGAAAATTTGAAAACTTAATAAATTATATCGGCTCTTGCGTAGTTTTTCCGGTTATTCTGAAAGAATAAATAAAGTAAAAACAGTAAAAAAAATAGAAAGTAAATCAATGCTGTTTTAAAGTTGAGCCTGTTGGAGCTCGACGAGTTGCAGAGGCAAGCAAAAAGTCGTTTAAATCTTAAGAGAGCTTTAGTTTGATTAATGAACAATTTCAAAGTGAATTTGAGAATTGGACTCTTCCGTAGTTTCCGGGTATTCTGAAAGAATCCGAGGATTTTGAACGAGTCGTCACGCTTTAAAGGCCTATAACTTTTTTCAGAGATAATATTTTGGTTAACTTTTTATATCATTGCACAGAGGACTTTTCAAGCTTTCAAATGATATCAAATAGAGCTTGATTGAATAATCCGAGTCCAAGAAAATCAGAGCCAATTCTAAGCAAATGAGGCCTATCCAACTCGGATAAAGTATTGCTTAGTTTTTATGAAAATCGTTAATCTAATCAAGCTCTATTTGGTATCATTTAAAAGCCTGAAAAGTCCTCTGTACAATGATATAAAAAGTTAACCAAAATATTATCTCTGGATAAAGTTATAGGACTTTAAAGCGTGACGACTCGTTCAAAATCCTCGGATTCTTTCAGAATACCCGGAAACTAGCCAACATATCTTATCAGCTAAGCTTTAGAAAGTCAAAACAAGCTGAAAATTTCCTGCAACTTTGGGTGGATTACTACGAAAAGACGAAGCTTTTTCCTTTTAGTGGAACGGATAATGGAGCTATACAGGCAAGGGAGAATTCTATTTTTTTTAACTGATAATCCTTAAGAAAATGTTCAAAGTATGTTAAAAATTGATTTTATATAAAAAATCGAAATTTCCGACTTTCAGAGTGTGGTGCTCGAGTTTTTCGCGCCAGAGCTCAGCCCGTATCGAGAGGTTTGCGAGAAAACCTGGAGAACAGGCAGGTAGACAATAGAAAACTTTTAACTGTTCAATTCTTAATTAAGTACTTTCTAAAAAGTGATACAAAGCTATCGTACTTCTTCTTTTCGTTAGCTATGCACTTTAGAGGCTTCGCCGAGCTTTTCCGCTACGAGGCTTGCGCTCAGTACTTGATCTCATTGATCCCGAAAAAAGAATTCGCACAGAGGGGATTTGTTCTCTATCAAAAAGGTGAATCAAGTTGTAGAGATATTCTTTGGGCTCATTCTTTGTAATTCTTTGTAATTCTTTGTACTCAAGCACCTTTTTCAGGCGAGGGTTGGTCAAGAGATGGCTGGGTGTCGGGCACATGGTGGTGCGAGAGGGATCTCTTCTTTCATGGATGGAAAAAAGCGTTTGTTTCTTTATTAAAAATATTCTTAGACAAACTAGTTCAAACTAGACAAACTAGACAAACTAGTTTAGACAAACAGTTTATTAGCGAAATGGACTTAGAAAATTCACTCTAGAGCCAATTTTCAGTAAACTCGGCGGTGAATGGCAGCTCCCATTCACGAGTGAGAGCCTTTTCGATGACAAATGCTCTGCTAACGAGTTTGACAGATGGATGTAGGTGTTAAATTGTTAAACCTGAAAATATTTACATTAAAATTCAAAAGATAAAGATCAGATTTGTAACTTCAATATCAAAAATTACCATTCTCGCAACTTTTAGTTACTCAACCGGCTTCAAAGTTCCTTGTCTTCAACTCGATCTCCGACTTCATCCATATTTCTTGGAAAAACGCAGTGCTTATTATAAAGCACTAAAAGAGCTTTTTGATGAGAAATTGTTTCCCGTTAAAGCTTACGAAAAATATGGAATGCCTTGAGCTGATGACTATATTTTGTGATACTACGGGTTTTTCTAAACAATTTTTTTTTTGTTGCCTTCACAATTCGGGTACCACAATCGTTCTGTGATAACGTTATTTGAAAGAATTTATTTATGATAAAGCTTTGAGTGTTTGGAGAGAAATTTGGGTAAATTTTTTTGCCCTCTATTTATGCTGTTAAGAGAATGGGACAGGCAATATTGGTCGAAGGGATTACAAGACTGTGCCGGGAATTGGCAGAGCAGAGAAGACTCTTTAACTTTCAGAGATGATTTTAAAAGTAAAACCTTTTCCTTTCATATTTCATAGATAGATTATCTTTCAAGAAACAAATACAAATTTGTTCATTAGATGATTTACAAGTCTAACGCACTTCTTAAAGTCAGCAATTTGACTTGACTGTCTCTGCAACTTATGTCCCAGCTGAGTGATTTGCCAGATCTACATAAAGAAAGGCATTTTTAGGTTCTTTACTTGGTTTTATAACTCACTAAAGAATACAGTAATTGCTGAAATATTGAAATAAACTTTTCAGTATTGAAATTGAAATTGCAGTAATGAAATAAACGTTTCAGTACAACTTGAAATATGTAATGAGTTCCTGAATCTCCTCTGGATTCTCTGTAGCCTTAAAGCCAAGGAAATCGATGCGAATATCAGTGGAGAGTTTGCATAGAATCCCTTTTTTCTGATTTGGATGAGTAAATACAGGTGATGGCCATCTTTCTTTCTCTGTCTCTGTTTTTTGTGCAATTGTTTGCATTTCTTCACACACTCCTTTCTCTTTCTCTCAAATTTCAATCTTTTCTTCTCATTGACTTTTCATTGCGAGTGGAGTGTGGGGAAACCCGAATCACTTCACTCATCTATAATATATTAAAGTTTCGTACACTTAAAACTTATATTTTAGCTCTGAGCAGTTAACATTGCGTCAGGTGCCTGTCCCCGGCCTTACTTAGCCCTGGCCTTGCTTGAGTCCTGACCCTGAGTCCTTTAGTTGACGCCCTAGCTTTTCTTACAACATCTAGAGCTCGGCTTAAACATTCCTGGCTCAAGCTTACTCATTAGTAAAAGAACACAGCAAAACTTCTTCTATAAATGACTATTCTTGTCATTTAGACTTGTCCACTGGGTGTCTGTTGTTTGTGTGCGAGTCACTCACTCACTTTCTTGACCCTTTTTTTTCTAAATTATCTCGAAAACCCACTCAAGACCAGAGCCGTTCGTCTATCTAAAAAAAAAGACAAAAAAAGATCTCACCCACACATTTCTCTTTCAACGATTTGATGAGTGATGCTCTTTTTGTATTGCCACAATATTTCTGAACATCAAAGATTCGAGAATTTCCCCTCTTATTACTCCCATTGTTGCAAAGTTTAAATTACGACTTTTTGGAATTTGCTTTACTCTTTACTCTTTACTCTTTACGCTTTACTCTTTACTCTTTACGCTTTACTCTTTGAAATTCAAGGAAATTGAAGTACTAAAAGCATTGATTGAATTCGAGCATTGATTTCAGTAAACATTTTATATTCATATCTCGAGTAAACTTCCAGTGAATGGCGGCTGGTTGGAAACATTTCACTGGGAAATCCCCCTATCCCGAGCTCACCGCCAACAGCACTCAATCGGCGTTTACCTATGGCTCGAAAAGGGATCGACGATATAGAATGGGATGGGTTGGTGTGATTATCAAAAAAAACATTTCATTAGTATAATTAGCTAGCACTTTTAAAACGTATCTAGTAACAAATTTCTGTTTTAGATTCAAGGAAAACGTGATGAGCGCGAGGAGAGAAACATGCTCAATTGGGTGGGCAAGGTTGGGGAAGTTTTGTTGAAACTACATTCTGATGCTTTAATACATATTTACAACTTAATACTAAAATATTGTCAAAACTCTTCCACCTACTTTAGATTTCCGGATGCGAAGTCTCGGATGATCAAGAGGTGGCTCTAGAACAGTTACACGATGGAGTGACTCTATGCGAGTGAGTGAAAATGAAAACATTACTCTAGAAAACTCGAATAAATCTTATCATTTTCTTAGATATTTGAAAATAGAACTCAAAAAGCTTTAGGTTTTTGAATGGTTTAAACCCACACGCTCTCAACCGTACGATTAGCCACAAGAAATCGCTTTTTGCCGCCACGGAGAATGTGACAAACTTTCAGGTATTGCAGAAAAAAATTGAATATATTAACATTAAACATTAGACTTGAGATAAAGAAAGTAGTAAAGTATATAAGTAAAGAAAGTAGTAAAGTACATAAGTAAAGAAAGTAGTAAAGTACATAAGTACATAAAGAAAGTCAACTAAAAATTCAGGAAAGCATCTGTAATTTTGGACTCCGACAAGCTGACTTATTCCCGCCAAATGAGGTTGGATCTTAAAATGTTCAAAGATATTTTGATTTAATTAAAGATTTCAAGAATAACCAAAAACTCTCTGGAAAGGTTATTTTGGTAAAATAAGATTTGTTTTCTTGACTTACAGTTAACTATAACTTACAGTTACTACATTTTAATTTTAACCCCTCTAAAAATCGGGGTTTTTTTTTTTTCCACCCCTAAAAAAAAAAAATTTTTTTTTTTTAAAAAGTGTATTTTAAAAAAACAAAAAAAAAAGAAAAAAAAATTAAAAATTAAAAATAAAAAAAAAAAAAAATTAATTTTTTTTAAAATTAAATTTTTTAAAATTTTTATCCCCCCCCCCTTTTTTTTTTTTTTTTTTTTTTTTTTTTTTTTTTTTTTTTTTTTTTTTTTTTTTTTTTTTTTTTTTTTTTTTTTTTTTTTTTTAAAAAAAAAAAAGTCTTTTTTTTATTAGTAAAGGGGAATTTTTTTTTTTTTTTTTTTTTTTGTTTTTTAAAAAAAAAAAAAAAAATTTTTTTTTTTGTTTTTTTTTTTTTTTTTTTTTTTTTATTTTTTTTTTTTTTTTTTTTTTTTAAAAAAAAAAAAAAACGAAAAAAAAAAAAAAAAAAAAAAAAAACATTTAAAAAAAAAAATTAAAAAAAAAAAAAAAAAAAAAAAAAAAAAAAAAAAAAAAAAATAAAAATAAATATTTTTTTTTTAATTTTTATATTTAAAAAAAAAAAAAAAAAAAAAAAAAAAATAAAAAAAAATTAAAATTTAATTAAAATTTAAAAAATTTTTTTTTTTTTAAACCTTTTTTTTTTTTTAAAAAATAAATTTTTTTTATTATTTTTTTTTTTTTTTTTTTTTTTTTTTTTTTTTTTTTTTTTTTTTTTTTTTTTTTTTTTTTTTTTTTATTTAAAAAATTTTTTTTTTTTTTTTTTTTTTTTTTTTTTTTTTTTTTTTTTTTTTTTTTTTTTTTTTTTTTTTTTTTTTTTTTTTTTTTTTTTTTTTTTTTTTTTTTTTTTTTTTTTTTTTTTTTTTTTTTTTTTTTTTTTTTTTTTTTTTTTTTTTTTTTTTTTTTTTTTTTTTTTTTTTTTTTTTTTTTTTTTTTTTTTTTTTTTTTTTTTTTTTTTTTTTTTTTTTTTTTTTTTTTTTTTTTTATTTTAAGTTAATTTGGCTTAATTAAATAAAAAAAGTAATATTTTTTTTTTTTTTTTTTTTTTTTTTTTTTTTTTTTTTTTTTTAAAAAAATTTTTTTTTTAAATTTTTTTTGTTTTTTTTTTTTTTTTTTTTTTTTTTTTTTTTTTTTTTTTTTTTTTTTTTTTTTTTTTTTTTTTTTATTTTTTTTTTTTTTTTTTTTTTTTTTTTTTTTTTTTTTTTTTTTTTTTTTTTTTTTTTTTTTTTTTTTTTTTTTTTTTTTTTTTTTTTTTTTTTTTTTTTTTTTTTTTTTTTTTTTTTTTTTTTTTTTTTTTTTTTTTTTTTTTTTTTTTTTTTTTTTTTTTTTTTTTTTTTTTTTTTTTTTTTTTTTTTTTATTTTTTTTTTTTTTTTTTTTTTTTTTTTTTTTTTTTTTTTTTTTTTTTTTTTTTTTTTTTTTTTTTTTTTTTTTTTTTTTTTTTTTTTTTTTTTATTTTATTATTTTTTTTTTATAATTTTATATTAATAATTTTTATTTTTTTTATGGATAATATAACTTACAATAACTTTCAGTTACTCGAGAAGCGAACGCTCACCGGACTCATCAAAACGCTTGTCATTCTAAAGTCCAAGGTTAGTCACTAATTTTGAAATAAATATGATGAATAAATTATCATTTATTTACTATTTGCTAATTATCATTATTACATCATTTATCTGTAGTTAAATTTTCATTTTTCATTACTAACCACATACAAATCAATCTCTTTAGTACCCGTTTCAGTTGGCTGGACCAGGATAAGAAAAAATCAGTTTGAAAAAAGGATTTGCTCATTTATGAGTAGCCTGATCATTCCACTTTTCTCTATGCTTTTTCCTTTTGTGTATTCACTTTTAATAAAGTATTCAGTGATTTTTATAGAATAAACGTTTAAATTTAAATCCCATCGAAACAATGAGAAAATGGGACGCGCGAAAATCCGCTTGTTTAAACAGAGTGCCTCGGGCGAAATTCCCGTCAAATCTTCAAGAAAATTATACAAAAAAAAATGCAACATTTAAGAGCAAAAATTCAAATCAAACTACCCTTTATTTTGTTGTTTCTTCTGCAAAATAATCAAATTACCATCGAAACAATGAGAAAATGGAACGCGCGAAAATCCGCTTGTTTAAACAGAGTGCCTTGGGCGAAATTCCCGTCAAATCGTCCAAATTCACAAAAGCTTTCAAATTTCGAATTCTAAATTTGAAAATCCTGCAATTTACAAGTATTCTAACATGAATCAAATAATGTATTTGCGAAAAATTCTATTCTTTTTCATTGCAATCCTTTCCCGAATCGACGCAATAACGACTAATGGATGCATAAATATTTGTAAGTTGAGTTTTTGAGAGTTACAGTAAGTTTGTATATTACAGTAAACTGTTTCTACTAGAATTTATTGTTTTCAGTGTTAATTTCTACACGGTTTATTCTAGTTGTACCCACCGTGGCACCCACTTGTGTCGACGCAATTAATCCAATGACCGGGGTTTCTGACTGCTCGGCTAGACGGTAAAAATGAATATGCTAACTAAATTGCTTTGTAAAATGTTGCTGAAGCTGGCTTGGCTTAGAATTAGCTGAAGCTTGAAATGATTACTGTAAAATCTTACGGTAAAAATTAACTGAAGACGACCAAAACCCAATTTTCTAGATCACTATGCAACGATCCGCGTTACTACACCGTGATGACAGAACAATGTCCGCGAACTTGTAACCGATGCACGATATCAAGTTAGTGGAACTTTCGTTCGCGAAGAAATTTGGGCACACTTCGATTAGACTTTCTTGTCTCATTTCGGTTATATCCCGCTATCAAAATGGGGTTACGGAGAATTTTCGTTTTCCAATATTAAACTCACAATAAATCACTAACTTGAAACGTTAAATTAAAAAGTAACGAGTTAGTTATCTGAGAATGAGATTGAGTAAAGAATTCAGCTTGCTTTGATCACATCAACGCAAAAACTCGTCAAAGTGATTGTTTATCGAGGAGGGCTTTGTGTTACAACCCGAAATACCGTAGCCTAATGCGCCAACAATGCCCGGTTACTTGTGGTTATTGCAAGTTGCCACCCAGCGCCTTACTGGCTCAACAAGCATCTCTTATCAAGGCACAAACCAGTAAGTTTAATCACTTAAGGTTTGATAGCCAGGCCAATTCTTTCAGTTTGTCTCGATTTGATGCCCGAATGCAAATTCCGTGCCGCCTGTGGCTACTGTATCACCTATCGTGATATGATGTACTTGAATTGCCCGAAAAGTTGCGGTTTCTGTGTCTAATCGTATGCTATCCTCGTTGTGTTTTGTTGTCTGTACATTCAATCTTAGATTAATAAAGTCGAGCGTACCCAAACAAATTTTAGCAGTTGAAAAACTACTTACAGACTAGAACAACTTTATGTTTTGCTGTAGTTATCTCGTATAAAGGCGTGGAATTGTGTACTATTACAGGGGGTGGGACAAATGCGACCTTTTTTTGCTGGAAAAGGCCTTAGGAGAGGTCGTAGAGCTTCAAAAATGTTTTCATAGAAGGGAATCGTATGCGTAGATTCCGAATTTCGACAAATCAGACCTCGCTGACACGTCAAATTTGGGCTAAAAGGCAAAAACTGCGGAAAAGCGTTAAGTTGCGTAAAAAAGGCAAAAAAAAAGGTGCGCAAATGTCCAGGTGCGCAAAAAAAGGTCGCATTTGTCCCACCCCCAGTATTACATATTAAATTCAGTACATGGAACAGCGAAAATTATCCATTATTTAAAATCACTTGGTGTGCAAAAATATCTGTTCTGCTTCAGGCTACCTAACAATTATTTGGGAGAAAAGCGGGTAAAACGCCCATTACGTCGAGAGCCGACTACTTGAAAAATCTGAAAAACGTTCCAATGGAAAAACATTTACAAGACAATCTCTAGAAAGAATTAAAATTATTTCAGGATTTGTACGACGGTTCATCAAAAGATATTCAACCACGTGACTAAATATCTGTAACAGAATTACTAAAGAAACGATCAAGAAAAACTTTTTGATCATTTACTCGTTCTAAATTTTAAAAGTTTGGTTCAGCGAACAAGCTAAGCTAAGCTTGTAAGCTCTAAAATTTTCGCTCCAATTGTTTTTAATGTTTTGTTGGGGTAGGCTAATTGCCGCCATTTTTTTTGCGCAACTCGCCATAACTTCCTTTTATGTGGACCGATCTTTATGATTTTGGTTTCATTTTGTAGATCTCAATAATGCAACAAAATGACATCAAAATCATAAAGATTGGCCCATTTAGAAGAAAGTTATGGCGAGTTGTGCAAATAAAATGGCAGAAATTAGCCTATCCCCCGTTTTGTTGCCTCGAAAAGATATTTTTAACCCTAGTTTAGTGTTTTACTTTTGTAGGGCTTGAGTTAATAACGCCAAAACCAAATAATCAAAGAGAACACTTTCTTTTGTCTCTTCATAAAACTGTCGGAAAAGGAGCAGCCTTTTTTTCTTTTGTATTTGAAAATCAAGTGTCCAGAGGCGTTTTTTGGAGCGAAAGGAGACAATTTTTCTCGATGTTATCCAACCAAAATGATTCTATTTTTCGACTTCTATTCATTTATTAAGTTGAAGTCGTTTTTCCCTGATAGTTTATTGCACCAATCATTGATGATCTCCCCAATTTGTAACTCTAAAAATTCAAATCTTCAGAAACATCGCCCCTTTGATGTGTTTTTCAAGCATTCGTTGCTTTTGAACCTTGATAAATTGTGTAATCTTTCTGTTTTAGTTGAGCAATGACGACGACCGCCTATGAAGTCGCAGGATGGTTGGAGAAGATGGATTCGCCCGATAAGGTAACGGTTATTTGCTTGCAGCTGAAGATAAACAGGGTGTTCATAAAGCTATATCTAATGCAATGCACCCCATGTTACTTTATATCGAGTTACTAATGAGAGCTGTGTTTAGGCTCTGAGCTTGGAATTAATAAAAGAAAGCAAGGTTTGAAATTTATAAAACAGAAGTGTATGCTCTAGTTGACGTTCTTTATTTTCAAGATAGAACCGAAGAATCATGCTAGGGTCAAATCATAAAAGAAATTGAAAGATTAGGCACTTTTTAAACTATGCAATTATTTTGAAGTTTAGGACTTTCGCTTCATGGCAGCAAGCGATTTGATGAGCGAGCTCCAGAAGAACAACTTGAAACTCGATGAAGACTCTGAAAAGAAAGTTAGCTTTATAGAAATGGTTGCATAAACTAATTGTACAGGTTACTCGCAAATTGCTGAAGTTGTTGGAGGACAAAAACGGCGAAATCCAGAATTTGACGGTGCGATGCTTAGCCACTGTTGTTGCTCGATCGAAAGACCCCCAGGTTGCTTTGTAGACCTATAGAACTCTGAATACATGATTTTAGGCTGACTTCGTCGTAGATTCGCTTTGCACAAATTTGACCGCGCAAAAGCCCGAGCTAAGAGACGTTTCTTCTGTGGCTTTGAAGGTATAAATTTGTAAAACTTTTAGGTGTAAAAGGTTAATACTTTATTAGACTGTTGTTTCGGAGTTGCCAACGGGCTCCAGTCAGGCATCAAATATTGTCAGCCGACTTACTCCACAACTATCGAAAGTTTTGAGTTAGTATTTTCATAGTTTGCACATAATTTTTGAACTTTAGGAGACAATCCAGAAATCGAAGCTGGTGTTCGCATGGAGATGCTTGATATTTTGGCAGATGTGCTTTTCAGATATGGAGGAACCATCGCTCAACACCACAATTTTGTAAGTTTCAATAGCTTTACCGATGTTTTTTATATTATCATTCAAAATCGAGGGTGGTATGTAATTTATTTTTTTTAGATCAAGGATGTTTTGCTGCAAGTCCTAGCTTCTTCAACTCGGCAAGCCATCCGCAAACGAACCATCAATTGCTTGGGATCACTTTGCTCGTGCTGTGATGCCGAAATATTCGAAGAGATCTCTGCCTTCTTGTTGGACAAGTAAGTATTGACGAGTGGACTTGCTTAACGACAATAATGTTATAGTTAAACCGTTAAGACACTTCGAATTATTAACAATCAACTTTAGGCTTAACAACTCACCAAATGAAGATACTGTGCAAACGTTGTCTACGGCCTTTGCTTCTCTGACAAAAGCAAATCCTGCTCGCTTCGCCAGGCATCTTTCATCGGTTTGGTTTGAGTCCAATGCTTTTCAACAGATGTTTAGGTTGTCGATATTTTGCTGAAGTTTTGCAAACAATCGAATGACGACGAATTAAAGGAGGCTGTCCAACAGGTGTGTTTTACCTGTTCTTCTTTTGAAAGTTTCTTTTAGACGATCGAAGTCTTCATCTTGAGATGTCCTTCCGAGATTGCGCCGTTCGTGGAGAAAATTGAAAAAGTTGCGCTCGAATTTCTCTGTCACGATCCAAATTATTGCGGTGACAGTGATGATGAAGGGATGGATGGCGAAGGTAATCAGCTTTCTTGGAGCATTATCATATTTTTGTAGACGAAGATGATGACCAAGACTTTTCGGACGACGATGATGTGTCGTGGAAAGTTCGACGCTCTGCTGCTAAAGTTATTGAGGCTTTGGTAAGTTTAGCGTAGGTTTGTCAAAAATCCTTTTTTGTAGATTGTTTCTCGACGTGAACACATGAAACATTCGATTACCGCTTTTGGACCAATTTTAATTGGTCGGTTGAAGGAGCGAGAAGAAACTGTTCGGTAAGGGAGCTGTATTGGTTGATTAGAATTCTATGGCGATGCGCCCAATGGTCATATTTGCTAAAGTTATGATTCTTTAGAATTGATGTCGTGCGAGCCTACATTTCTTTGCTCCGTCAAATTTCAACTTTCATTCCATCTACACCAAGTGCAACGGTTAGTTTTGTTGGCCCATCTTTTACTCAGTGTACTTCTAGGGTGGCGAAAACAAAGAGAATCAGGTTATCGGATACATCCACTTTGCAGCTGGCTCTTTGTCGAATGAACAGTTGGAGCTTCTTAAAGGTGTGTTTTTCGTTAAAGACTATCTAACTTGGTAATCTTTAGCTATTCAACACCAAGTACCTACTATCACCAAAGCCGTCGCAAAATTGCTCAAAAATCGCAGCACTCGAACAAAAACAATAGCTCTTGCCCTGCTTAGCCAACTTGTCAAGTAGGTCTTTTGTTGCTTTTGTATGCTATGAGTTTTCGTTTAGAACTTTGCCCGGATCACTGTCTGATCAATTTCTTGCCATTCTGCCCTCTGTGGAAAACATTTTCAAAGAGAAATCCACCACCTCACAAATGAAGATTGACGCTATCCAATTTTTTTCACTGTTTGTGTTTTACCTATTAACGCCATTACAAGCAATTTTAGGATTTTCCGATCGCATGCCCAAGAATGCTTGTTGCCTCATTTACGTCTTTTTGTAAACTCGGTAGAAGATGCTATTGGTGATGGATTCTACAAGGTCAGCACATGTAATCAAACCATTAATTTAATGTTTTTAGGTGGCTTCGGAAGGCTTGGCAATTCTCGACAAACTGATTGTTTTGATGGCCGCAAAAAAAGAGGCTGACTTGATCGATAAAATCTACAATGCAGCTTTGCCACGACTTAAAGCCGTTGATTTGGACTTGGTTTGATAAATTTTTAAAAAAACATCAAAATGTTCAGGAACTAAAAGAACGCGCCATTATTGCTGCTGGATTGTTCGTTGCTTTCTGTGGAAACTATTTGCAATCAAAGGTGAAATTGACCGTATTATAATTTTATAATTAAGAGCCATCCTGCTCAAAAAATTAATTGTAATAAAAAACTGTTCTTTTAGGTTCCCGAAATTATCAGCTTGTTGATTGAACGCTCCCGTAACGAGGTGACGAGGATTTACGCAATTCGAGCACTCGAAGTTGTCGTTCAATCGCCGCTTAAAATCGACCTTAATCCGTCGACATTTAGTGCTCTGTTGCCGATTTTGTCTGAATCTCTCCGCAAAAACTTGCAATCTCTTAAGGTTTTGCTTGTTTTACGCCTAAATCTAACTCCATTTAGATTGCCATTCTCTCCTTATTGGCCACTTTGTTCAAGAGCTACGAATATCCCGGAATTGAATCTGATGCCCTAGTCACCGTTCTTGGTGAAATTGCAATTTTGATTGACAACGATGATCTCCTTGTGGCTAAATTTGCTCTACGATGCTATGCTTGTAATAGTTACTTTTGCGAAAAAAATTTAAACTCCATTTAGTGGCTTTTGCGAAGTATCCAAATGCTGCAGCGTCGCATGTTCAAAATGTGCTCGGACAATTCGTGAAATTAATGAAAGCAGCTGTGTTGCAGGTAAATTTTTTTTAAATTGTTTGCGCTCTAGATTTTTATTTCAAATTACCCTTGGAATGTTTAGGGACCACTGCTCAACTCTGCGTTGGAAATGATCGAGGCGCTTGTGCGCAGCAATGTTCCCGGGAAGCCACATTTTGAGGTTTAAAAACTTACGCTAAATCTTTAATTATTGGTGTTTAGGATCTTCTTGATCAGATTACCGCTCCAGTCTACGACTCTCAACTTCCACGCCAGGCATTCTCCGCTATCTCCGCCACTACTGCCGTTGTTGCTTCGGCCTCTCAAAATTTGGAACAGGTATAAATTTGGAACAAAATACCGAAAAAAACTTTCTGTATTATGATAAATTTTAGGCTGTTCATTTTGGCGACAAAGCTCAGTGAACAATTGGCTAACCGTTCATCAACGGATGCAATTCGCCTCTTTTCACTTCTTTCATTGGGTGAACTGGGACGGAGATGCAGTGAAGTCTATGCGTCTAATGCGATCAAGTTGGTTTCAATTTAAGTGTGCGTTAAGTTTTTCGAATTTAGAGCTGAGCCGTTAATCATGGAGGCATTCAATTCGCAAAATGAAGATCTAAAATCTGGTGCCTCATATGCTCTTGGTGGAATGGCGGTAAAATCTTTCAAAAGTTTTCCCTCGTCAAAATGGTTTTAGGTTGGAAATTTGCCGAAGTTCCTTCCATTCATTCTTCAACAAATGCAGGAAAGCAAACGACAATTCTTGCTTCTGCATGCTATTAAAGAGGTAGCCTTGACTATAAATTGATTAATAATTTATCGGTGCTTTTTGCAGATCATTTTATGTGAAGGACAATCAAAGGAATCTTATGAAGCCTTCCAACAGCACATCGTACAGGTAATGCAATTCCCCTTTTTCTTTTCAACTGTCAACTTTAGATCTGGAACGTTTTGCTCATTCACGCCGAATCGGCCGAAGAAAGTACTCGAAATGTTGTCTCGGAGTGTATTGGAAAATTGTGTGTTCTTCAACCTGAGTTGGTTGGCGAGTTGAAGGTGCATTTTTTATTTTGTTTTTCTTAAAAAGCTTTGGTGACTGATGATTCCCTTATTGCCAAGCAGCCCTTTTGCTTTTTGCGTCTCTGCCTCTCGCAATGGCCTAGTCTTTCTCCTTCTTTTCCATAAAACGCTCTTGGAAAGACCCCAGCGTGTATCCTCGGTAGTATAGTGGTTAGTATCCGCGTCTGTCACATGCGAGACCCGGGTTCAATTCCCGGCCGGGGAGAATATTTTGCCATTTTTAAAAAATTTAGCTTTTTTTTAGAAACAACTCAACTCTTCGTCGGCAAATGTTCGCTTGGTGGTTATTACATCGATTAAATACATGGTCTCAGTTGAGAAGAAGCCCGTCGATGACCAGCTGGCTGTGGTATAGTTTTCACCAGTTACTGGTTATGGTTTCCTGTTTTTAGTGGATTCCAAATGTTTTGGCTTTGGTCAATGAAGAAGATCTGAATCAACGACGTCATGTCTTCAATACCGTTTCTTGCATTGCACATAGTAAACCTGCTTTGGTAGGGACGACGAAATTGGGCGTTGTATTTTTTGTTTTAGGTTCGAAATCATCTTGATAAGATCATGGCGGTTATTTATCACGAAACAAAAGTCCGCAAAGAACTCATCAAGGAGGTAATACTATTGATTAACTATTCTCAGATATCATTGACTTTAGGTCGAAATGGGGCCTTTCAAGCACCAAGTAGATAACGGTTTGGATTTGCGAAAGGCTGCCTTCGAATGGTTCGTTAATTTCAATCTCTAGTTTATCTCTATTTAGCATGTTCACGTTGTTGGGCAGTTGCCTTGAAAAATTGGACGTTTTCGAGTTCATTTCTCATCTCGAAGATGGACTTCGGGTAAATATTTTTGATTTGATATTTGATACAATATGTTAGGACTCTCATCACGATATTCGTCTTCTTGCCTATGTCAATCTCTCAAAATTGGCCACTTTAACACCGGCACATGTGATGCAACGGCTTGATCGCATCTGTGAACCTTTGAAGGTAGGCCTTCTAGTAATAACTTTATACGTTTTGAACAGGCACAACTGTTGTTCAAAGCAAAAACCAATGCTGTGAAACAAGACTTCGACAAGTATGATGACCTGAAACGTGCCGCTATTCGAACTTGGTTGATTCTTCAGGTATAAGTGTTTTGAATCTTACTAATGAGCGTTTTTTCAGGAGATGCCCGAAGGTTCCCGTCAACCTCAGCTTGTTGACATACACCACACAATCAAGGGGACTGCTGAGTTAAAGGTAATTCTAAAAGTCACTTTGGAATATGATAAGTTTAAAAATAGAATCCTGCAAAGCTACTGAATTTTAAATAACAATGTTATTTTATTCTCAGGATATGCTGACCGCCATTGAGAAGGATTCACAACGCGTTTATTATGGCGACCTCTCGATGGATACCAATTAAGAAGAAATTTTTCTTTAGATTTTCTGTTCTCTGATCATTGTTTCTATTTCTGGTCTTCATTGTTTGTGTTAAATGATTTTTTTGCTATTTTCTCATAATCTTGGGCAGTGGGACAAATGCTACCTTTTTTGCACGCCCGGGTCATTAGCGCACCTTTTTCCGCGTTTTTAAAAAGCTCTAAAAATAATTTTCACCAATTTCTATTCCCGAGTTGTTTTCTGGCTAATTTTAGGGCGTGGAATCCAAATTTTGACATATCAGAGCTTGTAGAAGCAAGTGGACGGAGTTATACATAGGGAAAATCAACAATTTTCTGTAATTTGCCCTACCCGTTTTATCTTTCCAATTGGTTCCACGAGCTCTGATCAAATTTCGGATCCTACGCCCTAAAATTACCTAGAAAAACAACTTTTGGAATAGAAATTGGTTAATTTTAGCTTTTTTCGATGTGAAAAAGAAGGTGCGCTAACTGGCCAGGTGCGCAAAAAAGGTAGCATTTGTCTCCCTTCCCTAGTCTTGTTAATATTCAACGAGTCTCTCCTTGTTGGCTTTATGTCAACTGTTATCTACCGTCTGTGTGTTTGTTCTTTTTTGTCGTGTACCGGTAAATTACGCGTGTTCAGTGACGAATGATACGTTTACAAAAGTTTCTTTTACAAAAAGCATCGTGACTATTTCTGACTCTTTGTAGAATACTTCTGACGGATCAATTAGGAGTGGCTATTTCTAGTTTAAAATGCTGTTTTGAACATTAGTAGAAGGAATTGTTTTAAGCCTGGGTGAACGACAGACAAACGGTTTACATCATTATGCATAGGGCATGCTGTTGTGGCATTGGATTCAAGCCTTCTTATTTAGATGAAGAAAATATACAATAAGCGAGGAGTACGTGGATATAATATGCAGGAATAAGGCATCCATGACAATAACGGAAATTTTTTCACCGAGCCCCGACCTTTTTTGCCAGTTCATAGGGAACGGCTCGAACAAAATGGACGTTGCACCACAGAAATTCTACACACCGGAAGAAGAAGAAATTCTTAAACGAAATTGGGAATCGTTCCGAAAGCAGCATAATTTGTCTGATGATGCAATTTTTGGATCGTACTGTAGTTGGAATCCTATATCAATGTGGTAGAGCGGACTGAGATAAAGAAATTTACGGAAGAGACGAATTTCTGGCCACGAATGCGTAGATTTGCCTCATCGGACATCTTTAGCAGTCAATGCTATAATCCCACATATTTGACAAATACAAAGACTCTCCATTGACGCCTGAAGATGAAGAAGCTTGCATTTCAATATATTTTACAGTTAGTAAGAAGAGCATACTTCGCATAGTCAAACTTTTAGAACGATTAGCCTACAGTGTTAACGCATTTATCACAAAAAATCAGAAAGACGTTGGCTTTGGAATGACTTGAAAGACGCATATCCAGATGCTTTCAATGAATCTCGGACGCTTTTGGTTGAGAAGAATGAATGGGTGAAAGTGGGGGAAAGGTTAGAATTTACTAAGTATGCTAAAACAACTAGGTTGCGATTTTATTTCAGATTCGGTCGGAATGGAGCCAAGCTGGAAAAGAATGGCCCCAGCTATGTGAAACTGAAGGCGCAAATTAAAAATGGACGTTTAATGGAAGAAGCCTTCGATATTGTGGCTCCAAAGTGTAAACCTGGCTCGCCTTTAGAGATTGCTCGTTTCATCGATATTGTTTTGTTTATCAATCAAAACAACGTTAGGGAGAAGAAGGTCATTTTCTACTATCTTTTGAACTATGCAATGCTTTAGGCAAACATTTTTTTCGGATGATATAAGAATCTATAAGGCTGCCGAAAGCGATGTTGAAAAAAAGGACTAACTGGATTGATTCCTTTCTTCTGGTAGAGACTCGGAATTCGAATTTTTGAGGTTTTCTTTATACTTTATTTTATTATTTATAAGTATTTTAGACTGCACGTGAATGCAATGTTATTCGAATTTCGAGGCCAGTTATGGAATCTTTGTGGGCTTCGAATTGAGACTAAGTGGTTGCTTACATTCATAAAAATTTCCTGGTTCATCTTACAATCTACTATATCCGTCCATCCATTCGTCCGTCTGTCTGTCTGTCTGTCCGTCTGTCTGTCTGTCTGTCTGTCTGTCCGTCTGTCTGTCTGTCTGTCTGTCACGCCTATGCGACAATACAAATTACGTTAACGTAAAATTACAAAGAAGTGAGCTAGAAAGCTGAAAATTTGTACTCGAGCGTTTTCGGGGGCGAGGAATCCGAAATTTTACTCGAAAAAATAATTTACCCGGCTTAACCCCTCATCAAGAAAATAAAAACTCGACACTATTTTTGAAATGTGAAGACAAGAACCAAAAAGAATTCCTTTTTTACTGAGCTTTATCTCCTTGTTTAATAATTTAATCCACTTACCAATTCTTTGTTGGTGAGTTGTTTTCTTAAGCTTTTGGTGCTCAATCTATCACCCATTCTCTTTATCTTCACTATTAAAAACAAGGACCAAAAAAAGATTTCATTTCTTTTCATTTCTTTTCATTTCTTTTCCCTTCTTTTCCTTTCTTTTCCTTTCTTTTCCGCCTAGTTTGTTTACTTCCCCTCTCCGCCAAGAAGTATGACCATCACTCGTCTTGTTGCTCTCACCAATTTTCAAAATTTTCTGATAGTGAGAACTTATTTTCAAGTGGCTTTCCTTGTTTTTATTTTAAATTTGTATAATATTCAGGTATTTTTGACTGATTACTTTTATTTAAGCGTACGATAATGAGACACAAGACGCAACTTGCTTTACACACTCTTGCTAAAAATTTCAAAACCAATCCGAAATAGCAGCACAATTTTGGACCAAACCAAATTTCTCGCCTAATCAGCATCGAAATCAAAAAATTCCTCCTTTTTTCTCTCGAAAATCATCAGATTCACCCCACTCCGGCCAAAGTTCGTTTCCACGGAAATTCGGCCAATGCAAAAAAAATTACAGGCGGGATTAGTTTGGGGGACCAAAAAAAGAGGAGTGAAAATAGTCACTGAACACATTTTAAAGCACTAATCTTTTAGTTTTTTTCAAAATTAGCTTTTCCAGTAATCCAATAATCCTATTTAATCAAATATTTGATGTAATGACGAAAACCTAGAAAACTTTCAAAGTCAAAATGAACAATGAACTAAATGCTCTTTATTTTAAATCGCTTTTCAAGTATTGACAGTTGAAAGGTACTGTAAAATTCCAGGTTATTGTCTTGCTTACAGTACACCAGATTATATTCATTCAGGAATTCCTTTAACATTCCTGGATGAATATAGTCTGGTGCACTGTAGCAAGACAATAACCTGGAATTTTGCAGTAGCTTTCAACTGTCTGTAGGCTGATAATAATGGACCTACCGTACCTGTATACTGTAGCCTGATAATAATGGGATTTTACAGTTTTTTGCATTACAATATTACTCTTTCATTACTCTTTCATTTCTCTTTTTGAAACTTTTCAGAAGAATGGGCCTTTCGTCGGAAAATGAGGCCCTCCTCGAGAAAGCTATCGCTAAAATTGGGCCTCCAAATATTCTCCTACAAAACGAGAATGGAAAAATTGAGAATATTTCGGATTTGTCGTTTGAAGATGACCGGGAAATCGAGGGGAAAGAAGAGAAGAATGAGAGGCAGACTTGTAAGAGGTGAGTAAAGAGAAAGAAATGTTTTTATTTTTCACAAAATCCTTTTAATCAATGAAAAATCTTTAAAAAGTAAAAGAGAAAATGAAAAAAAATCAAATTTTAATCAAATTTTGAAGTATTTTTGCTTAAAAAAATGATTTTCGATCAATTATTTTGGAAAATAATTTCCAATTTTCAAGCTCCAATCCAATCCAATCCAAACAAGCGAATTTAAGTCATAGACGCAGAAACTCTTTGGTGAATTTGCACAAAAATCAATTTCATATTCCATAGATTAATTAATAACCAATAACAAACTGATCAGTATGCATAAAATCTTGATCCATTGTGTCCGAGTGAAATTGGATCGATCCGGGAATAGCTTGTGTCCACTGCACCGTAAGTGAGATTTTCGTCACCATAATACTAAATTTGTTACCATCCGATAAAGGGGAAAGCGGTACTTTACCGTTATACTTCCCATTTTTTTTTTCCCTATACATCAATACCGTTATACCTTCCCAATCTACTTTTTACTATGGCAATCTAGAAGTATTGGGTTCATGGAAAAGTCCTTTCTGATCTTTTGGGAGAGTACCTTAAATTTGTCGAATTTTGACGTTTTTTGCCAGCTCGTATCCTAAAGAAGCTGAATTCAAAGACGGATCGATGAAGGTAAAAACCGTTTTGAGGAATCTATCTCTTTTCGGGAAGTTTTTGCAAACTATTTTAGTAAAGGGCAGCAGAGTCGAAAAAAAAAAAATGGCTGTTTTCACGTTTCGTGTAAGTTTTCCGTGCGAGAAGTGTCTAGCCTAAACCATGTATTTTAGTGATCAGCGTCAAAAATAACCCCTAGACGCACGCGTTTGCGGAATCTTACAGCGAAAATTTTTTTCAAATATTGTGTCATAATTTCCAATTTTCATCGCTGCACTCCCCGAAGGCGAAACAACGGTGCTACGTCTGAAGCAATTCGTCTTCTCATCTAGCACCCATGTGTGGAAGGCTTTTAAGCTTTGTTTTTATAATAAATATTTATGCATCGGAAGTTTGCTGTTTTCTCAGTACTCGGAAGATTTATGTTTTTTTCACATTTTCAATGAATTTTGGCTTTTTTTCCCCCAATTTAGAAACTTTTCTTCCCTTATTTGATCAGATTTTAGCTCAGTTAAAGCTTTTGTTTCGTCAGCACTAAACCCTATAGACACACCTTTTCTTTCTTTGCTTCTTTTTCTTTTACTCTTTGAGCTCTGAAGTTTCTCTTTTCCTATAAACGACGCCATGAATCCATAAGTTTATCCACAGCGATCAACCTTAGGCCGCTTGACGTTTCCCCAGT